ATATGGTGTTTATAAAGGAATTTTATATGATAACCCAATGGGTTTGTTATAATGCATCTAATGTATTCATGAACTATCTCAAACTAAATCCAAATTAATTAGCTTTGATTAACTCCCCTATTGGAGAATTCAATGAATTAAATACTTACTTAATGAACTATTCAATTGACTAGTCAGCTTCCATGGAGTTTGAAAGCATTTCACAGGCAGCCCTATCTAGCTTTTCAATTAACATCTTTAAAAACATGTGCCCCGAATTATTGAATATTAGGGGGGGGACCTCGTTTAATATTAGGGGAGAGAGAGTATTCTACGTGCTGGGAGATTCCAGGTAGAATATGCTGCACCCCCGACCTATACACCTCTCTATGCAAGTCTAGCGCATGTACAGCTGAAGCCTATGTACCCGTGCAGTTCACTTGTGTCATCTCACGATACGGGAGTTTCTCAAAAACAGGGGCCCTACGTCAACAAGGGACATCATACACAGGGACTACAAGGCATTCCGGGGTCCCGTCTTAGGGAGTGTGTAGGAATTGTAAGAAGCGGATCCTCGTGGTGCTTCTTCGGGATGATCTGGCGAATATTTTGAGAAATACCCACATGTCTCCAGGTTCTGTGGTGAACCAGCCAGGTTATTTACCCTGAGCCCATCCTTTATCGATGAATGGTGCAACTTTCCACGAAACAACATTCCGTACCAGGCTTTAGCATAACCTTCAAAAAGCCTGTGGGGAGCTTCCATAACAGGGGGCGCCCCCAATACATTTCAATCTACTGTATTCCTCATTATAGGCGACCCCGCGAAAGGAATCCTTTCGGTAAAACCTAATCCCTGTAAACCACTCTATAGTGTCAGCTTTCATTGCATTGTCCAGTATTTTCCGACGTAGTAACCCCTAGGCCTGAGACCCCAAGTACAACCCCCATCAATGGGTAGTTCCCAAAATTAGGGTCCCATTTTTGTACCCTTAGATAATAGGTGTCGTGCTATAATCTATAACCAAAAGGGGCCCATGATTTTCAGAACAGTTCATATTATCCTTAAAGAGATCCGACAAGGACCCAGCGAAGTCAACCTTGACCCCTTAAGCTCAAACCCAAAACTCACGGCTTCAGGGTTAGCATTTCGTTTGGGACTCAAGATTCAAGGGTTAAAGGTTTAGGGTTTAGCGTCTAGTTTGAGATTCAGGTTCTAGGGGTTCAAAGTTTAGGGTTGAATGGCTGGATTGCATATTAATACTCTTTCACGCGCTGCCTATGAGTCCTACGTACACACACCACCCAGGAAGGCCCCTGAAACCACCTAGATCTGGAAACCCATAAACAAAGACACATATGCAGAGTTCTCCGCACATTAGGATGAAGGAAGATTTAGGGGTGAAAGCACCAAATTTACAGCCTAATGCCCAAACCCTAATCCCGAAGACGCTGAACCTGAACAAACCTTCTAGGAGAACTTCCCACATGGAGGTCTCTGCAGCTTAGAGCAGGAGCCTGCCGGTGCCTGCCTTGGAACTTGAGAAACCGGGTTCCCAAGCATCAGAAGTATGAGCCATCTACAAGGAGTTATAGGATTTAGTGTTGGCACCCTGGAGGCTGTAGGATACATTTCCGCCCAGTTCGTACTAGCCACCAATGTCATGAAAGCAGGAAGCAATCTCGCTTGGAACCCCAATGTTGTGAAACCGGAGGAAGAGAGATTGGGTGTACTGTTCACGCTCCAGCGTAGGCATCTTATGCCACAACTACCTCTTACTCACACTGTGCTGGGAATTAGAATCGTAGCCTAATCAGCAGCCTAGAACCTTAGGAAATCAATAGGCTACATTACATGTAGAGTATACTATTTCGATCATCTACTAAGCCATACCTGTAGGAAACCATCCTATATAAATGACTATACGTACATACACCAAAACTCTCCGGGGTCTGTTTGAGCTTCATGCTTCGCGTACGGAGGACGTCTGCCACCCTCAGTTGGGGCCCTCGGAATCCTGGACAGAATGACGGCGCAGGCGCAGGTCTCTTTGCGCGGAAAGGTTTAGAGTTTGGGGTCTAGGGATGACGGTTTAGGGGTTAAAGTGTAGGGATAAGGGTGTAGGGACGAGCGTCTGAGGCTTCGGGCTTTCCGATTGGCTTCGGGCTTCAAATATGGGCCTTTATCTTTTTGGTTCCCGAGGGTCTAGGGTTCAAAGTCTTATAGGGTTTAAGGCTTTGAAATGGACTGCCAAAATTGGAGCTGGCGACTCTGGAGCCTTCTTCTGCATTTTTTTTCGGGAATCTCTCCTCTGGGCCCCTAAGTCCCAAACCCTAAACTGTGTGCGTGTGGGGATTTCCCGACTGTTTGGCGGGACGTAGACTTTTCTCACAACAGGGGGCCCTGACACTTGGGGGTTGTGGGGATGTATGGGTGTTACATAGGGATTCTTTGAATGGATACCCGTTTCACCACACGAGGCTTCTTCAGAAACCTGCGTGATGCCTAGACGCCGCCAACACCGAGCCGTCAACACCGTAAACCCTAAACCCCTCGAACCACAAATTCCACAACGGTTGAAGATAACCTTAACTTCAACTGAAGTGCCATGTTTTGGTGCCTGAAACCAAATGAGATCATTTTCGGCTTTACATTCCACACCCCAAAAATGTTATGATCGTAGTCTATGTTGGGGACTATAGTGTCCTCAGATTAAACGCTGCTTAACTGCCCTATGAAGATTTGTTCTTGCGAAGGCCCCCCCCCAAAATAGGTCCCCTTATACAAACATAGGGACAGCTGAGCATTCTCTCAAAGGGCCACGCCCAAAGTAATTTTCCAGATCACCCTAGCGGCCGGTATGTACCAACAGATGATTGCGATCAAGACGTAGATGGCAATCAAGATAGAGCCTGAGCGCGCTGCTCAGATAAAGGTTACTGTAAGGGTTTAGGTCTCAAATTTGATTGAAATGAACAAGTTGGGCTATATAAGCCTTATAACTTATAACCCCTAAACCCTAAACCCTACTACACTTATAAGAGAACTCGAAAGGCTTCTAGCCCTGCAGTGTACCTCGGTCTTGCACCACTTATAGTCCCCCTTAAGTAGATAGAATATGGCTTTTGGTATATTTCAGGGTTTAGGGTTTAGGGATAGAATATGGCTTTGGGGTATACTTTAATAAGATCCCCCTACACCCCGTATTCAATTTACCTAAGCGGGACTATAAGGTAGTTTCCCAAAATAAGGGGATTCCAATATAGACCCTAAAGTGCTACTATAAGTCTGATTATCTGAGAACTAAAAGTGCTACCCCCCAAAACCCTAAACCCTAGAACTCCCTACATATGCCTATAGAACCCTATGTCCCCTTTAAAGGTACCGCCTCATTTTGGGAAACCCCCCCTAAAGTTCCTGGGACCCTTGATGTCGCTCTGGCAGTCTTTCGAGGCTTAGGGTTTAGGGGTTCCAGGGTCCTAGGGTTTAGGGGTTTGGGCTTTTAGAGTTTTAGCGTTTAGGGGTTTGGGCTTTTAGGGTTTTAGGGTTTGGCTTGATTAGCTGCTTTATCCTGCTTTGCTAAATACAGGGCCTACGTTCACCATGCTATCTGAACACATGTCCCAAGACCCCCAATCCCGAATCCACTAAACCCCAGCCACTGACGTTATTGGCCCGTCAAAAGTTTGGCCTTGTAATTCAAGAATGACATATGTTGCGTGTATATATATATATATAGAAACAAATTTACCCGGTAGCATTCCTATATAACCCCTGCATTATCCTTGCTGCCTAAACTCTAACCATCCCTAACCCTAAACCCTAAGCCCTAAATCTAAACCCTAAATCCAACACCCTATCCCTTATAAAACTTCTCTATCTGCTCAGGTGGCCTTCAAGCCAATTTGAACAGCCATCCTGAAGGGCGGTATGCGTGATGAACACGGAGAGAATCATTACCTGGAGGGCTTTGTAGTGTTTAGGGGTTCAGGGTTTTAGAGTTTGAGGTGTCTAGGGGGTTTAGGTATTTAGGGTTTGAGGGCTTAAGGCTTAGGAGTTTAGGGCTTTAGAGTTTATAGCTCAGTTGCTTAGGAATCCTTACCTGGGGGACGGGTTGCCTTAAAAGGGTTTGAGAACCCTAAACCCTGGGATTTAGAGTTTAGGGATTTGGGAGCTCAGGGGTTCAGGATTTACCTTTCAAGGCTTCGGGTGGCCGATTACCGGATTACCGGGGAGTTTACACAGGGGCGGTTGGGGTCCCAATAAAGGGGTTACGGGGCTATACAGAGGCTTCTGGCAATTCATATTTATATTTATTTACTCAAAGAGAGAGAGCGAGCGAGCGAGCGAGCGAGCGAGCGAGCGAGCGAGAGAGAGAGAGAGAGAGAGAGAGAGAGAGGGTCTCGCATGCGCATCATCGCACAGTAGGCACCGCATTAGAGTTTGGGGTTTGGGGTCAAGATGTGGGAACTTCGAAAAAGGAACTTCGAAAAAGGATCGTCTTCAAAAAAGGGTCGTCTTCAGTCTACATTGCGTTCAGGTATGCTTCCGTGGTATTCTTCGAGACGATAGCCTCGTAGTCTGTGCTGGTCATTAATTAAAACATAAACACCCAAACCTCTCTCCAACAATGGCCCACACATGGGGCGGTCATAGGGGACACTGGGTGATATGCGGATTGCAAGTAAATCATGTGGGTGTGTCGCTATGAAGGATTCGGATGCGAGGATTTTCGAAGGAGACTCAGGACTAGAGCTCAGGCGGGTTTTGAATGTTGAGTTTTTGTGTCATTTGCATCGCCATGACAGCATCCCGAGGTAACATGCCGTGTCGAGGGTTTTGGGATTGGAGTTTACTATGTCTGGAGCGTTTAGGAATTCTGCCGCAGAGCTCGAGGATTGCAAAAGGATCTTGCACGGGCGATAAAGGGGTCACAGATGTAGACCAGTTCTGTAGAGAAGGCATAGTTCTGCCTAATCACTCCTGACTTGTCTCCGCAAAACACTCAACCCAATAATCATCAAGTCGCTGTGGTGTCGAAGATTCGGAAATCCAACGACATCGGCACGTCGAAGGCCTCAGACTCATGAACTTGTTGCACCATACACCCTGAACCCTAAACCGTAATCCAGAAACCCCTCCCGAACCCTTATCCTGGAAACGCAAAACAAAACAGCCTAATCCCTGAACACTACGCCATCAACAACCTAATCCTGTCACGAAAACCTGGAGGCGGGTTTTCAAAGGGCAGAGATCCGCCTGGCAACTCACAAACTGTTACGCGCTGAGGATGCTTTAGCTTTACAGAGACGTTTGTGCGGAATTTCATGGGCTTCCTTACTACCCTCCTCTGTACAGCCCCCCTCGGTTCCCCCGTGACTGACCTTCATTGGGCCTAGTTATCCCTAAATGACCTTAATTAAGTGGGGAAGCTAGGGAGGGTAGTATAGACGTGGGTAGTAAGGAAACCCATGAGAAGTGGGATATTTAGGCACTCTCTTCAAGGAGTCTACATGGCATGTTTTTAGGGGGTCGGTTTTTCAAAGTACGTAGCGTACTTGAAAGTGGAGCTAAGAGGGTTCTGGGGGGGTTATAGAGGTCCCCAAGCCCTAAACCCATAACCCTTAGCCCACCCACAAAGTATAAGGATTCGTAGAAGTTCCTCACAGGCACCATAGTCTAAACTCCTAGTACCCCCCGCAACAACCCTTGAAGTAGTTCCCTATATAATTCCCTACATGAACCCCCTTTAAGGAGTTTAGACTATGGCTCACATGATAGTCCCCTGGGGATGCCTCTCCCTCAGGCTTAGAGTTCAGGGTTTAGGGCTTCCAAAGCCAGCTAAGAAAATGGAAAATCCTCAAAGCGGTTCCCTGGATTTTCTGAAAGACCCGGGGGCCCCGAACCCCTTCATTGAGGAATATACTATATCCTAAACGATACTAAAATACCTACGATGATTTAAGGTTACTTCTTACTTTTTAATGGGCGTATTTCATCGTTCTTGGCTCTCTGGGCATTGTCAAGCAGTTTCCACAAATACGTCTTTCTTGGGGATCAAAAGGGTTTGATGGGGGACTTAAGGGACCTACCTCTCATACAACTTTGGAAGCAGCGATGAGGGAGCTTCCCAAAAGAGAGGCTGCAGGGATATATAGGGATGAAAGCAGAATTTTGGGTGCTTGTTCGGGATGAGAGGGGATCATCTTGAGGAACTCCCATCACTTGACCTAAGTCTAAACTCCTAGTATTCCCCTTAAGAAGCCCTATTAGACTGCCCTATCGATATTCTGCCCTATGTCACCCCCTTTGAGGAGTCTAGACTATAGCTCACTCGATTCAGCAAGGCACCCAACCGACGATCACCGAGAAAGGAACCACGAGCAGTGCGATCTGCGTAGACGACCCCACGGCGACCCCCAACCTGAATGTCGCTGAGATAACATGTGGGTGAGGGTTCTTCTTCCTGATACGCTAAGATTACAATAAGAAGAAAATGGCGGCTTACAAAAACAAACCCCCAACTTTTGGTAACCCCCCCGTGCAGTCTTGGGGTTACGTCTACGTTTGGATGGAGGCAGTGCTGCAAACAGTTTGCGAACTCTGAAAACTGCATGGCCATGTCCCCATGATGCGGGTTTCATTTAACTGGTGCTTTGTAGAAGCGATAGTCGTCTGGATGATAGGGGCTCCTTTCTGCCTGTGGGACCTTGGAGCTTACCATCCTGGCCGCTGAAACAAAAAGGATAACCTCACCCTCCCAATCAAGAGACACGGGATGCTGCTGTAGCCTTGCAAGTGCTTGTGCCCGATGAGGAGATTTTTTCAGCAACCCCCCAGGCATTTTTTGTAACATCATGTTAATGTGCAGCATGAGGTCATGTGCAAACTTACTCAATGCCGAAGGACTCCAAACTCAAAGCCGCAAGCCCTCAATGAACCTAATGTAGAAGCTGAGATGTTACCAAGATTATTTCCGTCTGCTGCTCATATGCCTGTAGCAGAATTTATTTTTCCTGAAGCCCTATTCCAATCAAAAAGGCTTCTACATCGCTTGGATCCAGCAACGCAAGGTCCATCTTGCCCTTGGCCGCGACGGTCACTGCCGTTGCATGCTCCGCGGCATTGCCCACGATTGGCAGAAGGATCACACCGATGAATGCTCCTACTTACGTACGACTTCCTACCCCATCTCTGGCCATATTGGGATCTTGTTTCCAGACACCGCCCCTGAGTTGATGTCCACTGGTTATTCACCCACTATTTTCAGAAAGTATGTTCACACTCTCCGAGGACTTTGAAAACAAAATGCGCTTACTTACAAATTAATACACCAACGCGACTTGTAACCTTTCTTGGGTCGTTACAAAGGAAAGCCCTAAACTCTAGACCCTGACCCTAAACCCTAAGCCCCGAACCCTACACCCTAAATCCAAAGCCCTAAACTGTAAACGCTATGATACTAAACCCTGTACCATCTGTTGGTTAGCTCCTAAACTGCCAAGGACCTCTGTAAAGCCTCAAGCCTGAGCAGCCTGAACCGTAAGCCCGTACCACACGGTTTAGGGTTTAGGGATTAGGTTTTCGTTGCAGGGTTTGGGGATTCGCGCTCAGGGCTTTAGCGCTTAAACCCCCTAAACCCTTTTTGCCCTACGACTAGGATATGCCTTACATTATACTATTTATTTAAATATCTTAGGACTACAGGTGTAATTTTGCAGGTTTCCACGTAACACCCCCCCGTAACCCCCACAGAAGCAAGATAAATCCCCTTATTTAACTGTGTGGATTCCAACGCCCCTACAAAAGCCCCAATTTCTACATCCTAAACCCTTAACCCTAATCTCCTGCATGAGCTATAGTCTAGACTCCTAGTATCTCCCTTAGTAACCCCTATCATCATTCCCCAATAATCCCCTATAATCCCTCTTTAAGGAGGTTACAATACAGCTCATTATAATTCTTGTATAACCCTATGTGTGTATATATATAGAGCAGTTTCCGGTTCGTTTTCCGTGTTCTCTGTCCATTTGATTCTCCATCATTGGGTAGTATAACATCACTCACATCCCCAAACCCTAAACCGGTCCTGGGAGGCCATACTCCTCCGTTACGCCCTCGATGGAATCCACCAGAAACTCGGAGCACACTGCCACGCAAAGCGTGGCGAAAAGCCTGCAATGCATTGGGTACTGCTGCCGGCCGGGAGCAGTCTATAATCAGGCTACACCAAGACCCTCCTTGTACCCTTAATTAGGGGTATATGGTCCCTAATAGTGGGTATTTAGGGGTATATAGAGGGTAGATGGAGGGTCTAGGCACATGACGGGCGTGACAGAGTTCTACTATAGTCTTTCTTATTTCCCGTCTGTTATCAAGTGGGGACAATATCCACGTAAAACAGCATTCTTGGAGCGTCTGCACTAGATAGCTGTTTCTTGAGGCCTCTCGTGTCTAGAGGTTAGAACTTATAACTTTCTGGTCCTAGTTGGGCTTCATGTTGGTTCAGAAAAGTGGGAATTTATTTCGATCGTTTAGAGCGAGCCTTGCGACGTTGGCTACGTGATGTTCTGCGCGGGGTCTTAAGTGTCCGGTACTCCACTTCCAGTTGCTAAGTGTATCCTAGTTATCTTTGCAGCGCTGGAGGCCGGCGCGCAATGAGCCTTTTGCGGGGGGGCTAAGTACGCTCTGATGGGACTAATGCAGAGCCCGACGACCTGCCATGGATGGAATGTAAGTGGAATGAAACTGGAAGAATTCAGACATGCATGTCATTGGCTTCTGTATCCCTCTGTAACTACCTTCATTAAAATACACCTCAAACATAGCTTGCAACCAGAATTCAAGTGTTCAAGCCCCTCGGCCCTCGACTGAGGTTGCTAGAGTGTGCATATGCGGGCTTTCCTTCTGGGCACCTGACTTACGTATGCATTCTAGTTCCGCTGGTACCCCTCAACATCCTACATCTTGGTCCTAAAAGATTCACCCAGGAAACGTTACTCCATAGTCGTCAGTAGCCTGTCAGGTTGCAATTATCCCGTTACATGCTAATACCTAAGTCATGGAAACCCCAACTCTCTGCCGAGCAGCAGGAGGAGAATGGAGGAACAGGCGGAGATGGAGACTTCCTCCTCCTTTTGAGGTGGCTGCGTCTTCAAGAAGGGAGCTTCTTGTAATGTTATTGCAGGGTCTAGGGTGTACGTGATGATGGGTGTTGCCTGTCTTATCTTCGTGGCACTTAGGACCCCTACTAAGGGTTAACCCTTAGGTACCTACAATAGGAGTATAAGGGAATCCCAAAGGGTTAAGGGTCGAAGGGTCAAGCTAAGTCCCAAGGAGTTATTTGGTGGGCATGTGCAATTGCAGACTCAGAGTCCGTCAGCGTGATCCTCAACGTTCGAAGCCTACAAGTCCTAGATGCTGAGCCCTTGCAAATGCCCAAGCCGTAGATCGCAATGCCATTCGCAAAAACTTCTTAATGAAACCCTCTGCTACATGCGAGGACCTAGATCCAAAGCCTAAACAGTAGTCTCCATTTTAGTTTCCATTATAATCCGATATAAACCCCATATACCCCATATAACCCCTGTAACCCTATGTGACCCTACAACCTTAAACCAACCTGAAACCGAAGCCCCTCTACATTTTGCATTGCTCCAATTTGGTGCTTGGTTTTAGTTGTAGGCTTTAGGTGGGCCCCCACCCAGTAACAGGGACTATAAGGGATTATAAGGACTATATTCAGGTCCTTTTATATTCCTACTATACCACTATTACAGGGTGGGGGTCCTCCTAATGTAGGCCATTGTAGGCTTCGGGTTTAGGGTTTAGGGCGACCCAAGATAGACCCCAGTAACCTTCTTTCTTAAAAGGGACACTCCACAAAGAAGGCGCGTGATTTGCGGAAATCCCCGCACCTAGGCGCAAAGGTGCCGGGTTTTCTCTTTGGCATAAAATGCATGTCTAAGCACAGAAGGACTCCTGTCTCCTCAAAATGTATTGAAAAACCCTTCTGACCCATGGTTCCTATCCATGAATATGTTTTAGGGTTTAAGGTTTGAAGCGTAATTATGGTCCCCTTACTTAGACTTAGACATCCCATGTACGGACTCACCCATATACCGCAGGAACCCTATATGATTCCTATATGCACTCACACCTCACCCGCCCTACGATTCCAAAACGCGCTTCGTGGTAGTGGCTGCCTTTGCATTCCTGAGATTCTAACCTTCCTTTCAATCACCCACCCACTGCAGGACAGACCTTCCAAAGGTAACAAAAGGATTTGGGTTACCTCCTACGCCCCTTCATAGAATAATATAAGCCGGTGTTTCCACTTCATGTTCCATATTCTTTTCGATTTGGTTCTCCATGATCCCTAAATACTCAACAATACTGCAATCTGAATTTCATAGAACCCCTGTATAACTCTACGTAACCATATAACCAGAAAAAGGGTGTTCGCTGCTCTTGGCCCTCTTACCCTAGGAAGGTTCTCCCAAAAGGTACACATCGCTGCGTTGCACTCTGCGAAGTCCCCGCAGACAGTAGAGAGTATCCCTAACCCCCGTCAAACTAACATGAAACATGAGAAGGCGTCCTATGCACGCACCTGCCCTTGTAAAAGATACTTACATGAGCCGTAGGCTAAACTCGTTCCCCCTCAATATCCCTATAGTACACTCCCCCAAACTAACATGGAAACCCATATAGCCCCCTTTTAGAAGGACTATAGTCTTTATAGGGCCCTTTTTGAGTTTCCATGTTAGTTTCCGGGAGTGTAGTCCCTCTTCTAACCCCTTATAGAACCCCCTTTAAGGAATTTAGATTCTGGCTTCTCACATGGGGTTCCATGCTAGCTTTGGCGAGCTTAGGCTCCAAACAATGGCTACCTAGGCCAAATACAACAGCAAACCATTTACCTACCTATATCCCTACTGACAGACATAACTTATGAAACTTATTAAACCCTTATACCCCTATGTGTCCCCTGTGTAGACTCATTACACTCCCTTTATATAGTATTTGGGTAATGTCTAGCCAGTCCTCCTCACCCTCCGAAGCAAAGAGGTGCGCATGTGTGAGCAGTTGAAAGATCAGAAACAACACCTGGGGGGGGGGGGTCAAACGTCTCGTCCTTGCTGGGTTCTCAAGGTCATACAGCCCTCAATATGTAGGATACTCAAACAAGTACCATCGTTCGTGACAGCCTTAAAACGGGAGCGCTTCGAATTGGTCATGACGCCTTTTGAAACGGCTACACAGAAAGAACAATGTAGTGCAGCTTCTCCTTGGGAGGGTTAATGTGTACCCAGACCCTCCTATGTAGTTCCTTTTTGAGTATATATATTAAAATCCCTTACCAAAAAACCATAACAGACCCAAAAAGGAACTACATAGGAGCCCTTGGGTATGTACTGCTCCTTCTAATTCTTGCTATACTCCTCAGATGCTTCAATGGACCCTCTTCTTGGCTCTATTCACTCTATTGGGAGAAATCCATGCCATATTCCTCCTAGACGTATTGCTTGGCCATATGTAGATGCTGCATTCCTTGTCAGGTTTTTCAGATAACCCACACAAAATCCATCAACCAATGGCTCAGCTCATGCTTGAAGATTCAACCCAAGACTTCCATCAACCTTAGCTTACCTTTGGGTTTTGGGTTCAGGGTTTAGGGCCTAAGCAATGAGACATGCGGTCTCTCCAAACCTTCAACGAGGCATCGCACGGACAGGTATCCGAAATCTCGGGGTGGGTTTCCTAAAACAAGGGGTTTCATTTTGGGGGTCCTTAAATTAAGACTTCTAGCATTTTGTGCGTTGAGCATCCTCCCTCTAGCAAATGAACCCATTTCTATCTACAACCGTCGGCAAAATTTGGGATCCATAGGAACAGAAAATCCCTAACCCTCCAAAACTCCCCAAGTTCCCTTTGGAGAAAAACGCCCGAATGGTCTGTGAGCCGAGGAGCATAGACACCCGCAATGACTGCGGAAGAGATTCGTGAGATGCTAAGCACATCCTCTGTCGAGGTGTTCTCCTTATCATAGCGGTTTCTCAGCAAAAGCGGGGGCTTTTGGAAGACCATAAGGGGCGCATTTAGGATGTCCTAAAAGGGGATTAGGTAACCTAGAAGTCCCCATTCTTCCCCAATACTCCCTAAGCTTCCTCAAGGTTCCCCAAGGCTCCTTAGTACCCTCCCCCGTTTGAACCACCCCCACTCAAGGATCCCACAATGCATGAGCCAGTAAAGAACAATGTCAACAAACTCCTACGTAAGCGCCAGCTACCATCCATTCCTGAGAAAAAAGTCGGGCTTCACGCAGGGAGCTTCCCCTGGCACAGGTAAAGAATGAACGTGAAGTTCGGGCTTACGATGGCGTCTCAGGAAACGCTTTGAAGATTGGGTGAAAATCTTCCGAAACCCTAGATAAACCCCTTAAAAACATACAGGCTATATAACCCCGCATAAGGCCAATAGATTCCCTATACAACCTCTACATAACAAGTCTGATACCTGCCCAATGCTTTGGCTTGGTGGATCCCCAGATATCCCCAGTCTTACTAGTTGAGTACCGGGTAGTTAGGTTGTTGAAGGCCTGAAATTCCGACGAAATGTGTGCAACCCTGGTCCCGCAACTCTAAACCTCAAGCCTCAATCCTAAACCCTATGTCCGCACATGACCTCCGACTCCTGAAGCCTAATTTGGGGTGCTCGCCATGAAACACCAAGAAACCCTTAGTCGGAGGCTATCTTGACGGCTATAGCTAGGAGTCAGGTCCGGGTTTGGGGTTTAGGGCGTAGGGTTTGGGGCTTAGGGCTAATTAGGACTTTAGAGTAACCGTAACCCTGATAAATCCTTAACTCACGCCCAAACAAGATTATGCCTAGTGCAGTCATCTTACTTACAGCCAATCTGGAAGCGACTCAAGAGCGTCCAACCCTCTGAAGCCCTAAACCCTAAACCCCCTGAAGCCCTAAAGTCATCCAGGGCGCCATGCAGTTGTAGATTGTTGGCAATGCCAGGGCAATGGACCCTAGCCTGTTTAATGTGCGGCTTCAAGATGGTTAAGCAACGGTAGTAGACATTCGCAACAGCACCCACAGACAGGAGACGATCTTACTTCGAAGGCTCGCATTATCCCCACTAATTAACTATCCTTAGGGTGCTTTCCGCCATCCCTAGAAGTTGCAACCCTTCCACGAACGACCAGGGATCCTCCATTCTCACCCGGGGAGACGAAAGCCCTCACTTAAGGACCCCAAAGAACTGACCCGTACTTTGGAAAAGCGGGTGAAGTAGGGCACGCCTCAGCTTAGCAAGGTGAAGCCGCCTTTCGTTGCCTTCCGTTACCTTACGCCTAGCGATTGGGATTCATTGGTATTTCATTGCAGTATAATGCCCTAGGGAGGTATTTTGTGGTCCAAGGGGCTCAGAGGGCTGATTCAGCCAAGAAACCTACATGGGAACCTGCAGAATATCATCCTCATGCACCCAAGTCTTATGGGCGTCTACTGCACTATACAGGTCCTCAAGGCCCTAAACCTTCTCCCTTTCCTGTTGAGGACGAGCGCGGTTGTTGCAGAAGTGATTCTTGTCTGCCACATGGTACTAAGATATCAGCAGGGCCATTGCTACGTTTTCCTGTCCTTCTCCTGGTTTTCATATTGCTAGCATAGGTAGGCAAGGGAAGGTACCATATATGTGATACACAAAGATGTCCTGAGCACCTCCGTCTCAGAGCAGGGGATTGGATAGCAACTAAGTTCGTGTGCGAATGACATCGCTAAAAACAATCCTGTATCACTGCGAAGCATTCGGACGGAAAGCCGATGTATCTCTTATCTCAAGGTCCCCCACGCCCGCTTCCTCAAGTAAAGGCTCCCATACAAAGTCGACAAGAAAACCTTAAGATTCTCTTGGCAATCGAAGCAGCGTGAGGCATGTCATGTTAGCGGATGCGCCCTTGGCACTGAATCGACTCTCCTCAGTAGCTGAAGACAAGACAGGCTTTACGTGGGAGTTTGCTCCAACACCTGTTCCCTAGGCCCCAAAATAAAATGGTGAAGGCTGGCACAGGAACTGGGAAAATGGGAACAGAAGGAATCGGCTCATTCTAGCATAAGGTATCCGGGCTCACGGCCATGCGCAGTCTGTAAGAGTCTTGTCGTAAGGATACAAAGCACTTTCTGCTTTGGACGAGGCTGATTTTTTCGGCGTACCCCATGGGCCTCTACGCTGTGGAAATGTACCAAACCAAAGGCATTATGCACGTGTAGGTGCCCTGGCATGGTCATCAGCAGAATCAGAAACAGTGAGTAGGACGGTGTGGGTTGAACCGTGATTGGAACTACTGTCAGCTCATGCTAGAAAGTACTTAGGCTCCTAATTCCCGCAGCGGATCTCTGCGGATTCCTGATGCCCAATTGCTGGATCGTGAAACACAAGCCCGTAAAAATAAACCCTAAACCCTAGCAAAATAAACCGCAAACACTAAACAAATAAAGCTTAAACCGTAACAAAATAAGCTCCGACACGCTAAGCCCTCAACTTTGAAATGTTCTCATGCCTGGGTAGACGGCCAGGCATATTAGCTGCTTGCATACACCTGCTCAACTAGACTGTGGATATGGTTCAAAAGTGTATGCTATACCAGCCTTTAGAATGGAAGATAAGGGTTTAGGGTTAGGGTTTAGCGTTACAAGGGTTTAGGGCATAGGGTCCAGAGTTACTAGGGTTTAGGTAGGGCAACCAGAACCCCTCAATCGAGGTGAGGCTCTTTCTCCACCACGCCCGCTGCGAAGAAGGACATGCCAAGCACCAGGAGCATGTTGGAGAGAATGGATCCTAACCTTGACGTCAAAATGGGGGGGTTTAGGGTTTAGGGTCGCGCATCGCACAGCAGTGCAGGCACGGGAGAACATGGGTGGTTTAGGGTTTGGAGGGATATACACAGTTTCTAGGACCCTTTGGAGAGGTTATTGGAATTGTTAGGGTTCAGTTGAAGGCGCCTGGGGTATATAGCGAGTAAGTTTATACGGACTCCCTTAGCCTTGGACTTGAATATGTCCCAGATTGCATTACACTCCCGGAAACTAACATGGAAACCCAATAAGGGCCCTATACAGACTACAGTCCCTTTAAAAGAGGGCTATATGGGTTTCCATGTTAATTTGGGGGAGTGTAAGGTTTGCTTCTGGGGTGCTTCTTGCCACGAGGCGCGGGAGGCTTTCATGTTTAGGGGGCCGCGACTGCACCAAAAAACCTACAAACTGCTGCGCATTCCCTCAGACATAAATCTAGAGAACTCAAAGCTGCAAACCCTAAACCTAGTCCAAAGCCGGCCCTTCGCCTAAACCTTGTCAACTCCACGTGGAAGCCCTGAATCGTAGACCCTAACTCCTGGGTTTAGGGTTCAGGGTTTCTAGCTCCAATACAAGAACCCTACACCCTCTAAGCCAGAATCCCCATATCAACAGCTAAGTGAAGCCCGGTAGCATGCTGTGAGCCTAAATCCTCAACCACATATCCTAAATGCCGGGAAAACCCTTTGAGCTATAGTGAAGACCTTTAGTATCACCCTGAATAAACCCTACAATACTCGCCTAGATAATCCCCCTATATAACCCTCTTCAACAGGTTTAGACTATAGCTCATGTACTGTAAGTACCGTTTTGCAGTCTACGTAAGGTCCTTTATACTATAGATACAAAAAAGTTTAGGGTTTGGTAGTACGGTAGGACCATAACATTGGTAAGTGCTTCGGCTCCCAGACAGAATCCGGGTCCCCAGAAACCCAAATAGAACCCCAGCTTCCGCAGCATTGACCATTTTTCATTCGCTTCATTGGGGTACGATCCCTGTACCGGAAACCCAAAACCCTATCCCTAAATAACCCTACATTACCCTATATCCCCGATTACCATCCGTATAAGTCCCTTTAAAGGGACCTGAAAGGTCTACGTTAAATCCTAAACAATCCTAAACCCCTATACCACCCCTAAACCCCAAAACCCCCAAACCCCAAAAACCCATAAACCTTAAACCCCTTCCCCTCAACCTCTTCTTTCAAGCTGGCAGCAGGCTCCCCTGCACCACGTTGACGAGGCCAGCCTTGATGGCGTTGACCGTCACGATCATCTCGACGGCGTTGCCGAACCTAGGGGTTCAAGGCTTAGGTATTGTCGAACCAAGGGTTTTGGGGTTACAGGGGGTTTAGGCTTATGGGGGTTGCCGAACCTGGGGGGTTAGGGTTTAGGGGCTGCCGAACCTTGGGGTGTAGGGTTTACGGGTTGCCGAACCAAGGGGTTCACTGTTTAAGGGTTGCCGAACCTAGGGGCTTTGGGTTTAGGAGTTGCAGAACCTAGGGGTTCAGGGCTTAGGGGTTGTCGAACCTAGAGGTTTAGGGTTTCAGGGTTGCCGACTCTAGGGGTTGAGGGGATCCTGAGCCATAGGTATCTAAGATTATCTCAGGGAACATAAGGATACGTAAGGATATATGTAGGTATACATGGGGATTAGGGTTTATGGTTTCGCGGGTTTGGTAAGTAAAAACAATGTTGTCCATAATGAGAACTAGAAGAGGATACAGGTTACAGTCTGGTTATAACTTGCATGTTTCCTACCTAGTGCCGAACCTTGGGATTCAGGGATTGAGGGCATTTAGGGTTTATAAGGCTTAGGGCTTTGAGGGTTGACTGCAAACCTTACGCAAACACAACATCTTTCGTACAGCTCTTTTGGACCTCAAAGCCTGAGCCATAGATACAGTTTTCATTCGGCTTACATGGGAATACCAAACGGCCACAATCCTAAATCCTGGCAAGCCCCATCTTATGATTCGACGACGGGCTTCAAACGAGCCAGCACCTTATGTGAAGGACCTCCCGAAGTCCTAAAAGAGGCCAATGCATGATGGACATGTGCTGGGGGCGCTCTCCAAGCAGCTGCAACTATTCCATCACAAACATTACGAGGGCGTTGCTTCCCAAAGCCCTCAACCAGAAACTTCCCTTGAACTTGACCTCTAGACCAGCCCACCATCTGCCCTGGAACCCTTCCAATCGATCAATTCTTGCAATTCAAATCAAGGTTGGCGGCTGCATCTAGACATTGATACGCGCTACATCTTCAACCCGGGCCTGACTTGTCATTAATGATACTCTGCATCTTAGACCTATCGATTTGTTGACGCAGAGCAGAAGGTATGTTCCATTTTGAGATGAAGGGAGGTTATCAACAATTAGGGGGTCCGACAGACCCCCCCAAAATATAGTTCTTAGCATACGGACCCGCCCAAAGATGTGCAATTTTGAGAAGCTCCCGTTTGAACGTTGCCTCCTGCAAAACGAAGTTCGGTGCTCGTTCGAGAACCGCGGCAAGCTGGCCCCGACTCCCCCATGATGCAATCGCCAGCTTATAGGGATTATATGACAGGCCTGTTACATATACACATATATAATATATGTATATATTATGCTTACACATATGTCTGTCTGCTTCAGGTTTTGAGGTCATGTTGTCTCCTAAGGCCCTCTCGGAGGGTACGATAACATACCTCTGGCAACTGCAAGTATGCTTGACAGCCTGTACACAAGAATGCGGTCTTTTGGGCCGTATCAAAGTATGAGCCGACTTCTCAGCCCTCGAATCACGCACCGACTGGTGGATACTATAAGAAATAGACAGTTTCTCACTCCCAAGAATGACTGGCCACGTGGCCAGGGACGTATCGGGCGCGTTTTGCGACAAACAGGTGAGTCAGGGAGTTGTGGATGAGATCTTGCAGTCGCCTCTGCATGTGCTGAGGCAGCCCTAGAGATCGTTTCCACGTGCGGAGGTCAAGGAAGAACTCTTCCTGCCAACTGTACTGGTCTCTGGTGGAATTCCGTTTAGGTGGAGACCAGGGTGGATGAACAGCAAGTGTGACAGGCTTTCGGCCCACCAAGCCGCGGCTGCACAACACAGACATTGGAATCAAAAAGATGCCCTGCAGCTGCCATGCATCAAGAAGACACACTGCCAGCAGGTCGAAATCATCCCTGGCATAGGCACGCCTACCAAGGGCGCCTGCCTGCTTGCCCAGCGCGCACTTGTACCTTCCATCCCGCTTGGCGGCATGCGATGCCTTTTCCTGTATGCGTACACTCGTCGGCGATCCACCTGGGATGGTAACTTTCAGAAGTGAGTCAACCGCTGTCTGATGCATGCCGGGCTGTGATAAGTGCATATTCAGAGTGTCAAACAGCACACCCAGCTCAGCATGAGCACGTGCTTCGACTTTGTGGGAGGGTGCGCACTGCATACGTGCTTGCTGAACAGACATGAGTGGAAATCTTTTGCTACGAAAGCACGCAACTAAATGCCGGCCTATCTCTGGAATGGCATAGCGGTGATCGCTGGCGCAACCAACAGTAATCCACAAAGACTCGCTGAACAGCTGCGATCCCGCAGCAGCCCAGACATGGTTTGTGTCCAGTGCCATCATGATGACAAGCATGCCGTCATATCCTGCCATGTGGTTGAAGTTGTACCTACGCCCTCTCTGGCCGGAGCTCGTTGCAGCTTTGAGCTGAAGAAGCAACCCGCCCCCTTCTTCCGAGCCTTTGGGCCGGAATACCGCATCAGCGTGCGAGGCACCACCTAATCTGCACAACTCGAAACCAGCCGCGTCGGAGGACGAAGACACCGCTGCGTCCAAAAGCATGGCGGCTCTGGCCTCGTTTCGAAGATTTCGTCCACTAATCCGTAACCCACGTTGTCGGGACTGCTCGACTGTCTCACAGTAGCTGGCCTCTTCGTTGGAGGGGAAATTCAGATATCTCTTTAGTCGAAGCTTGTCATCAGAGAACAGACTCCGCAGCTTTGAATCATAGGCCTCTGCAGCCTGCAGGGCGCAGTTGAAGCGCCCGATATGCTTTTGCTGTCCATTGACTCTTATGTGTACCAAGTACTTGCGCGTCCGTTTGCAATAGCAAACGCCGCGATACTTGGCTGCCTCAGCCCTGGCCGCAGCAAGCGGATCCAGAAGTTTAGTGCTCAATCTGGCCAGGCCAGACACCAGCCATGGCTGTAGCTGGAAAGCAGGCCATGCAGCAAAAGCAGTTGCGTAGGCTTGACGCATGATCCCACGGCAAGCTTAGTAAGGATGGCGCCAAATGCGGCTTCCTTCGCGCAGGTCTTTACTTCTACCTTCCAGGGAGCTATTCTTACAGCAGGTCTTTGCTGTCACTTTGAGGAAGTTGTTCTTCCAGCTTATTTCGGTACACAGCATACCACGTGCCTCACCCCATTCCTGAGAGAATGCGAAGGACCATGTCATGATTATTGCTTGCGACTCCTTGTCTACTTCTATGGCCAGAGACAGGCAACGCTTCTGAAAGGTCACTTTGGAACCATGCAGCTAAGACAATGCCCATCAACCCGCACATCTCCTCAATGCAGGCACGTCATGATTGGCTCGATGTGAAGGAGTACGACTTTTTGTTCCAAATTTATGGTTGAGGGTCAACCCTGAGTCAGCTGGCAACAGTGACCTAGCTACATGACCAGGTATGAATCCTTGCCTTGGGGGTGCGTCGGAAGTTTGGAGCCGCTTCCAAACGCTGCTCGAGAGAGCCCAGCTCAAAACGGTTAAGACGCAACCGTCTCACTGAATTCTGAATAGGACATCGGTAGGAGACTCTGATGCATACACGTTCATCACTCCACCGTCTTTCTTGGGATTCATCATAAGCAAACAAAGAACATGTTTGGCTTAGCATTTATTAAGAGCCCACCGAGGAAATTCTCAAACCCCGGCACCCTATCCCTGAAGAAAATGCACATCGTCGTTTTCATGTTACTGTCCATTCTCTACTATATACCCTTGTGTAGGCGTATATGCTCCAATTTTTGTATGACCCTACAACGTAAACAATGAACCTCAAACCACAATGCAATTTGACAACGACCACGAAATTTAGCGGAGAGGGCTTGTTAAGAGTCATTTATGACAAGCAAAGTCGAAAATCATTTCGGGTCATCCCTGAGCCCTGGGCCCAAAACCTCATTTTGAGCCCACGAGGCGTAGCATTCAAGAGCCCACCGATCATCTGACCCGTGTGGGTGGCTAAGGCTTCGGTAGATCCACCAAGGATGGCGGCTAAAGGTACAATGGCCACCTTAGCTTGATGCATGACTAGGGTCGACTTAAAGGGCTTGCGGATGTATAGGGATCCTGAGCTCTGCACCGGCTGCTGTATAAGAAAACGCGCCAGACATGGGTTATACAGGGAACAAAGGGGAATGGACAAGAAAATGGAAAACTACCACATCATGTGGAGCTAGGGATTCTCTTTGTCTGCAATTCTATTCACATCATCAGGGGATGCTCTTCTTATGGGTCTCTCAGGTTGAACATCCGGGTGCAGACTTTAGAGGCACTGACAGGAGCTACATGCAGAAAACATGGAAGACCTTCCAGGAGGCATCAAACGGGACCTGGGTCAATGAAGGGTCATCTGCGTGTTCCCCCCTTTAAGATACAGTACATACACCTGACCTCCTTGGAATCTGTAAGCCCAACGTCTTCCCCCTGTGAGGTACTAGACACACGGCTTTCTGCCCATCACACCATAGCGACATCTGCCCATGAGGTGCTTTGCCCAAACCCCAGCTGCTCATCCAAAACCCACTTGTCCTATAATACGCTGTTACCCGATCTGTTACCCCAAACCTTAAAACGTGTTTCAACAGAACCTTTCCTGGCTTGGAACGGCCCAGTTGCAAAGTTGCACGAGAAGCGCGCGGCTGCACTCCAGTGTGCAAAGTGACTGTAGACACCTGCAATGCGATTTTTAGGTTTGAGCCGTCTGGTGCCTTCAAGGGTTCTCGGGGTTCAGGTCTGGGGCTTAGTGGTTCAGAGGTCAAAGGTCTAAGTGGCTCAATGGCTCACAGGTGCTGGACGGGAGACCCCTCAACTGTACACATCCAAGCAACAGAACTTGAAGATGGCGTCATCCCATCCATGGAAACCGGAGGCTTCCAAGCACAGCAAGGTACAGTCTGAACCCTCGTCCCTAAGCCTTGTTCACTGCCCCCACCCAGTACCAGTCTGCACTAGCGTTAAGATTATAGAGGCTGTTATGACTATGCTATAACTATCAACCTAAGCCCTGCATCTTTTCAGCGACTCCTTACGCGGGCGGAGTTAATCCTGATTCGGCGTGAATCCCCCCACCCTAAACCCTAAAACCCTAAAACGCTTTAGGGTTATAAGGGTTTAAGGTTTACCCCTACAGAAAAGCATTTCGGAAAGTCCACGAGTCGGTCGGCTCTTCGATGATTCTCCCTGAGCCCTGCATGATATAGTTTCCATCTTCTTTTCCATTCTCACCTTAAACCCCTTAACCCTAAACCCTAACCCCCACACATCCGTATATATCCGTGAGTTGGGACTGCGCAGGGCACTTAGAGGCTATAGATCTGCTCTGACATTACTACAGCGGTCCCCAAATAAGCCCCAGCGGAAGAGGATCTCCCCTATGTAAGGTTTATGGTTTAGTGTTTTGGGGGGTCTAGAGTTGAGGATTTAGGGTTCAGGGTTTACGGGACCGTATGAGAAACCCAATAATGAAGAATATCGTGGAAAATAAGCCGAGCATCAACTGGAAACTGGCGTTATGATGAAACCTTTGGTTTATGATTTAGCGGTTTAGGACTAGAAAAGCTTAGGGTTCAGTTGCTATAGGATTGCTATAGGGTCTTTCGGGGCTGAGGGTTGCCCCAAGAAGACGGTTCGCCTCCCCGTACTTACCCCCAAACCCCTTTCTTCAACTTTGCCCAAGATGGCCCCAACATGGGGGAACCTAGGATTTCTGGGAAGCCCTTTCTCGTAAGCTTGCCACACACCCAAACCCTAAATCCTAAGTCCTAAGCCCTAAGGCCTAAATCCTAAACCCTGAGTCCTGAACCCTAAATCCCAAACCCCAAGCCGTAGACAATTCTAAACCCTTACCCCGATGTCACCCCTATAGAGCCCCTGAGTCCCGGCCTAGGGGTACAAACACAAGGAGCAGGTTCATCCAGGTGCAAAGGATGCCAGCAATCCCCTGACCTTGGCTTACTGGTGCTTAGGGTTTTCGGGTTTGGGGTTCTGGGGTTTTGGGGTTGTAGGTTTTAGGGTTTAAGATTTTGGTTCAAGGTTTTAGGGTTCAAGGTTTTAGGGTTCAGGGTAGGGAAGAGAAGGGAAGGTGGAAGCAAAAATGAAGACTACTACTGTGACCACATGTCACTCAGGGCTCAGGGTTTAGGGCTCGGCAGCCAGTGGGGAGTTGGTGTCCTATAGTAGCGTCTGTAGAATACCTAGAAACCATTTTGTGGGATGGAGCCTGCCGAGCAGACTCAACGTCAGGACACACAAAAAACAGGTTAGACAATAGTGTAGGGTTCAAGGTTCATGGATATTTAAACCCCCTCGGCTCCAACTCCAGAACCCAACATTCCTAAACCCTAAACCGTGCACACTAGCGCTGATGCTGTTAGATGGAGGATACCCCGTAGTAGTCAGTACGTCTTGCTTTGAATGGCCCGTAGAATTGAGCCATTTCTTCATTCCATGCTAACCACCGTAAACATAAAATGGGAGTAAACCCTAAGACCTGTATAGCCCTGCATATCGACATATGCCAACCACCGGCAAGTAAATCCGTAATGTAGACCCGCTGTTTGTAAACCCCCTCCCCTTAGTAAGCTATTATTAATAGGGATCCTAATCTTAGGGCCACTACAAGGAGGGGGTATAAAACTATAAAACCTTTTGCCCTATTTCTTTTCCATTATACCCATATAACCCCAATATAATAACCCCAATATTACCCCCTTAGGGGGGGCAACCCCTTCACAGGGCATCACTCAGGGTCTACATTGCCAGACACCCCTCCTGGAGCCAAGCGGCATTCCTTCGCGCACCCGTGAGGCTCCTCCTGCGCCTTGCATCCCTTTAGGATTTCGGGTTTAGGATTTAGGGTTTAGGGTTCAGGGTTTAGGCTTAACAAGTAGATAGCTATGGTTGAGGTTTAGGATTTTAGGGTTTAAGCTTTGGGGTTTTAGTGGCTTTTCAAGAAGTTAGATAGTAATGGTTGGGGTCAAGGGCTAAGGGCTTAAGGTTTGTGGTTTTCGGGGTCTTTCAAGAAGTTAGATAGCTATGGTTGGAGGTAAGGGTGTAAGCTTCTACTGCAGTGCTTTGCCATGATATTGGATAGCTATTGGCACCCTAAACCCTGAGATTGTACACAGAGCGCATTTTTGGGGGGTCCCCTCAGCCCTACCTGACCGAGTGCCCGGCTTAGGTGTTGCTAATCGCCGGAATGTCTCTAAAGAGAGTTTAGGATTTAGGGGTGCCACCCCCTCTCTCAGAACCTTAAAGAAAGTCCATGTGGCAATACATCCACCATTCGAGTCATTGCCTGAACTCCTCCTATAGAATCCCCTATATAACCCTCCAAACCGTAAACGCTAAACCTTACATGAAGGGGGTTACATAATCCTCAATATAGCCCCGCGCTTTTTAAGGTGAGGGTGGCTATAGGTTGTCCGAGGTGCATAAGGGTCTCCATACTGCCCATAGGGCGAGCCCGCGAGCGGTTGGTGAACACTCTGCCCGTCTGGGAGTGGCGGCGCATCCGCGGTGAGGACGGGTTTGTAAGCATACCTGGGTTTACGGTTTAGGGTTTGAACGCATTTACCTGGGTTTAGGGTCTAGCGCCGAGTTTTCGGAGCTTTGGACTCTAGCGGTTTGTAGGCATTCCCGGATTTCTATTGAGTCTCTGAGTTGTACCTGAGCTAGAGTCTAAACTCCGAGTATCCCCCCTAATAAGCCCTATGCTACTCCCCCAAAATAAGCCCCCTGTTAAGGAGTGTACATCCTAAACCCTAAACCCTAAACAGCTGTTTCCACTTTCTTTTCCATTATCCCTATATAGTCCCCTATATAAACCCCCTTTTAAGGAGTTTAAACTATAGCTCAATTGGGTTTGCGGGAGATCCAGGGTTCCGGGCTGAGGGGTTTCGGGCTGCCGGGGCTTGCAGAAGGATGGATGGAGGGTTGGAGGTTTAGGGTGTAGTTAAGGGCTATGGTTGAGGGTTTAGGGTTTAGGGTATAGGGTTTAAGGTTTAGGGTTTAAAGTTAAGGGTTTAGGGTATAAGGTTTAGGGTTTAAGGTTAAGGGTTTAGGGTTGAGGGTTTAAGGTTTAGGGTGTTGGGAGGCTTAGGGATTGGAAACAGTAGGTAGGCATACTTGAGCTGGCAGAGAATTCGCCAAAGCCCCTTTGGAGCTTTCATGTAGATGCTTTGAAATCATACTTGGCTACCACTTTGACGATTCAAGTTTGAGCTAGAAGTCTCTCCTGTAGTCTCCTTAGACCTATCATAAAAATGTTATGGATACTAATGAAAACTAGAAATACTTCCTAAGGAGACTACAGTCTCGTCCAAGGAACCCAAGGAGGTGTCTAAACTCTAGACGCTACACCCTTTTTCCAAGAAGCTATCAGCACTGAAGCCCTGACCCTACACCCAAGAGCCCTATATACTCTATAGCCCCAATAGAAGCCCGAACCCCAGTTCCATGGGGTCCTCCCCCCTTAAGTAGATAGAAGATGGTGTATATGAGGATCTTATTATGATATACCCAAAGCCATATTCTATCTAATTAAGGGGGAGTATATAATAGGGATCATATTAAGGGCTTTATATATTCAGATCATACATACTATCCAGCTGTTACTGAATGGGGCAGTAAACTCTAAACACCAGACTCTGAACCCTAAACCTTTAAACCCTAAACCTTTTAACCCTCAACTCTAAACCTTAAACTCTACTAGGCTGACTAGCAGCTGGTCCGAGTATGACATCGCGCCAATAGTCGACTTTGGACGGTGCGATGTGTAGCCTAGGTTGGTGAAGACGAATACTGATACCCTCCCCCAAACTAACATGGAAACCCAAATAGTCCTCTGTTAGAAGGACTTTAGTCTTTATAGGGCCCTTTTTGGGTTTCCATGTTAGTTTTCGGGAGTGTAATCATGGAGATATTTCGGGCTATAATGAGGGC